GCAGATTACGCCGGACTACACGACAGGTTCGGGGTTCTCACGAGCGATATCGTACCAGATAGTACACAGGGAAAGTGGGGGATCCACTTATGAACCGAACTCTCCGTAGCCGCGTCATGCAGCGGCCAAGAACACGCCTGTTTGGTCTTTTAACTAGTACCTGCGCCACTAGAATAGTAAATCATTAAGTATTCGTATACACTTGACACATTGTTACATGACACTCAAACACCGTACTGGACCTGGTATGCATTCCTCTGTTTAAACAACTAACATGTGTATTCTTGTTTCCACTGAACAACTATTTCACTACATTATTTGCTGCGTCCCTTGGAATATTAGTCACGAATGCAAAAACTGGGCTTCAAACGAATATACCTGTTCGAGGAATGCTCTGGCATGCGGAACTTCCACATTTCCTACGAAACTCTTCTTCAATCCCTCATTAATGCTCAAGTTAGTGATGCCCTTACATGTTACCTGTTTGACAATTTTGGGACATCTTTCTAGCCTAAGACCCGCTTATTTTTTTTCATAGCTCATCGATGGCTGTGAGGCTGTCAATTTCTCCAATGGTAGCCAGTGTGTGGAGTACCTGGCGGCACTCTCACGCACCTTCTGGTCTAAGACTGTTGTAAGTTCTGGCCAATTTTCTTATGACGCAGATTTGGATAAGTGGCTTTACTCTGGCATTGTTTGTCCTCAAGTGACGTTCTTTAAGTCTCCGTTCACCGATTGCGTAGTTTCTCATCGGTTTTTTCCTAAATTCCTTCGGAAGAGCACCATAACGAAAGAAGGCGCGATTATACAAGGACAATTTCAAGGTATATATCGACGCGACTGCAATTTCTTGATCTTGAGTGCACTTCAGTAGAAGTTACATGAGATATTGCATACAAAAAGCGACACTGTGATGGTCAAATGGGTGTGAGTAGAGAACTTGTCCTTATACCATCGTAGATTCAGTGTTATCGAATTCCAGCCCGTAGTGCATTTCGTCCGTGAATCTCGATGTATTTCATCCGTGTAGAGCAGTGTTTATATCGACTTGTCTTTCAAACAGAATATCGCACTAAAAACACTAGGAGCGTACTCTGTGCTGGATCACGATTTTTTTCGAGGTATAATAGTTTAAACACCATAATGAGTCACCGAACAATTAGGATTTGCTAGCAAGGGTGTACAATAAAGGTGAATGCACGTTACCCCTCACTTGATAACGATTACTGATTGTTCGGTAGGCCATACCAAATTTTGTGTCTGATCGCGAGCTGCTTTCTATTTTTGCTGAGCCCACAGGTACTCGAGTCCACTCGTTTGAACTAACTTTATATGTTGTTGAGTCCCTTCCCCGTTTAATTGCCTGCTCACGAGGTTTTAATTTTTTGTAAAGTTTGACTTAGCCGTCTATTGCGGCGGTTGCAAACCAAGAAGTCCCAATCTGGATCGACTCTGGGGCATTCCATGGGATGAATTCGCTTCCAAATCCAAGAAATCTCCTGTGCTGTCCCTCCGAGAGGAATTCGGCCGTCACCTATTACAGATCCACACCATGACGGGGCCCAAGGCAGCAAATATACTCAGCGCCTATCCCACCCCGATTAGGTAATGCTAACGTATATTTCTTAGACTGACGTCTAAACTGTCAGCTTTGTACATTTCCCGCTACCTTCTGCTTACATCCAGCAGTCATCACAATATATCTGTACTTCTTTTGCAGGCGCCAGAAATTGCTTCAAGTTTCAAAAATATTATCTGCAGCATTTGTACGTCCTATATCGTGTTTGCTTTCATCTTCTTCAGCCTCATTAAAGCCTTTGCGGACAACCAGGATGGTGACTGTAGGAAACGATTGCAGCCAAAGCAGTCCCTCAGGTATCACATTTTTATATTGTTCAGGTCGCAATGCCTTACCGCACATTCTATACCCTTTAGAAGAATCTAGTAGTTACCGGTTTGTCCTGAGAAAACATACTATGGCATGAGCTCACCTTGATTGAAAATTCATCTACCCGCCTTTCCGCGATCGCCATATGCGACAGAGTAGACTAAGGATTAAACCCATACGCTGGGCGTTTTATACTGATTGTTGTCCTTGAAGCTACACATTGTTTCTCTAAATATGCATATGATCCCTTTGCATGTAGACAGACAACTCCTCTGCGCCAATCTCATATCCTCACCAGATTCTTGTGTCTTTTTCCAGGTCTCTCAATGGGAATCTTGAAGAGTTTCTCCGTCACATGTACAACACTTTATAACTCGAGCCATCCTCTTCCCCATTTGTATAATATCCGAACTCATTCTGTCATTCTCTTTTACTGCGCTTCTTATTTTACAAGATACCTGCGTGCCTTGTTACTGTTCAAGCACATGTCCACAACTATGGCTGTGTGTGTGTTCGACCATCGATTTTGATGAAGCCCACCAAGTGCACCAAGAGGTTGGTACAGAAGCTGACTGCTTCAGGAGGTATCTTTGAAGTGATAATGGACGTAGTTAGCGCCAACCGCACTCTTCACCTTCGCCCGGAGTCAAGAAGACTAAACGGGGCCCGGCGTAAGCTGTTTTCTCCAATGCAAGCCGAAACACCGCCTAACTTAGTCTTAAGTGACAGTATACTTTGCGCGGGTACTACTGTACTATATACCCTCACTTACCCTTATTAGGTGTGAATTCAGGCCCAAGGAGGCCGAGACTGATAGAGTCACTATTAATTCTTCTACTATTGACTATCAATGCAGCCGAGTCTTAGTAGTACTGGTACTATTTCTGACGCTAACATTTGTCAGAAGTGACGCTGGTTTAAAGTTGACGCTGGGGATCATACCTCCTTTGTTCCCAACAAAGAGTGATAAATCTGGGTTTATGCTATTTCGAGTAAATACACGTTTGAGGACCTGAGCACATCAGGGCTTGCCTTCTATTCCGTCCTCTTAACTGTATCCTACCAGGCTGTGTCCGTTTCAATAAGGAGCTGGACTACGAGGACTAGGATACTGCTGCTACAAGTTCTTGCCTATGTTAAAGTGCTAATTATAGTAAACATAGTTACTAAGACCAGTAACTAGTATATTATGGTATGGTCTGTGTGTGCCTGTAGGAAGCCGGCGCCCAGTGTGCACTCCCAATCTGTATGGGGTAAAGTATATTAATAGATTATGGGCTAAGGCAAAGCGTTATTAACTAGTAGCACAAGTTTTATCGTACCTTTATGTCTAACGTAGTGGCTTTTGCCGCGTATAGGCTGTCTGCAGACCTAATACAACGCCTAGCTTGCGATAGACTAAGCATAATCGCAGGGTATCGTCTTCCTGTGTTGCTATTAACTGGCAATTTAGCGGAGTGCTAGTAGTGCTGTAATTGTATCTGTCGAATTTATAAGTCAGAGTTGATGCCGGTTTAGGTCAACGCTGAGGCTCATGTCACTCTGGATTAATGCTATTCCGAGTAATACATGTTCGTGGCTGCCTCTGTTTTTCCCGCACTTACCTATATCTACCAAAGCTGTGTCAGATTTTACCAAGTTTTGGACTACGAGCACTAGGAACTGCTGTTAGATGTAGTATGTGAATGCTGAAGCGACTAATACTAGTTGCCATACCTACTAATAGCAGTAAATTATATTGACATGCAAGCTAGATAGAGAGACGGTCCACTACATGGAAGCCCTATTATTACTCCCCTTTGGGTTGAGCATGCTTTACGTACGCGTATGTAGATATATTACACAGTGAGTTTCCTATAGTAGGTAATTAGCCAGATAAACTTTTGTCCTCGGTCTCACCACTCGCGGACTTCTGCAACATTTCCCTAGTATATCTCGGTCCGGGTTTAGCAATGGAATCAGCCTAGTAGTTGTTGTCGTGCTATTAGACGATGATACCTCTAATACTGCTCCTGATATTTACTTACAATTCTCCGGCAGTTACCTGTGCCGTTGAGGAGCCAGTTTACCGGCCAGAGCATGTAGGGTTTACCTCAACCACAGTAAGGAGAGGAATCTATTTATGGTCCTTACGTTTAGCTTGCGATAGCCAGCCAAGCATCTCAGCTATCAACCTTTAGCTGCGCCTTGTTAGAACACATGTGGACGCAAAATCGGGAACAGAGTTTGTCGAGCCGTGTCTTGACTTTCTAAAGTATCTAGTTTTGCTCAGATTTTACAGAGCATCATCTGTCTATTGGGAAGCAAACTTCTCCACACTCAATTAGTCACGAAAGCTTGTTCCTATAACAGTATAAAAAAGTTTAGTAATAAGACATGCATCCTATTTTATCAATTTACTATAACACGTAGAGGTATGAGTTTACCGCCTGAGGTGATTCTGCAGGCACCTGGTCTCATGCAGGAGGTAGGATTTTTAACTAGCTTCACATTTTTACTACTACGACTCGCGTTTGCACTGCTAAGTCCTTATACCGATAGTACTGGTAGAGACAGCGCTATTTCTGTTTAACTACTAGTGGGAGAATACAAGTACCATTAAAAGTAGAAATGCTGAATACAGTAAGGTGAGACCACACTACGATTATTAGCCTAAAGGACAGCAGTACGACAATACAGTATCAGGTAGGTACAGTAGGACAGTCTAAGTCAGTACAACAGGAATAGGGCAGTATTAGTGATGCTGGTAGTATTAGTGATAGCGGTGACACTAGCACACCAGGGCTTTCCTCGATTTCCGACCTCTCAACTTTATCCATCAGGCCGTATCATCTTATTGACACAGCTCTTGGTGGACAGAGGTGAAAGGGCGGAAACCAAGGAAAGCTCTGCTGGGCTCAACGCCCCAAACATGCACTTACTCGGAGCAGCATAAACCGAAGTTCACACTCCCTGCAGGGATTGAGGGGATATGAGTAGACGTTCTCTTAAGTCCAAGCTACAGATAGATAGTGTAGTAGGCCAATAGATACTACATAGACGGCAAATTTTACAAAGTAAAGACATGGTAGGACTTCTACTATTATTTAATAACGCCTTATTTAACCCTTATACAATTTTGAGGACTCTGTATTGGGCGTTGAAACCCGTCATCGCCTAGTCATCACGCCAATGCTGCAGTCACCAGTCCGTCTCTCGCTCAGTGACCAGAGCGATATACTAACACAAACGGCTTGATCTCACGCGATGCAACCAGTCACAAGCCGACTCACACAAGACCTTAAGTTAGTGACTGTGGCCTACGACACTTAGGATTCCGTCCCCGAAGGGACAGACGCGACGGCGCCACGCTCTCTCACGGTTAAACGCCATGCCAGACAGAGTGGCAACTTTTCCCCTAACTCTTCTGTAAACAAAATATTGTTCCTACTACTCTGGCCTTCCCACCGTCTTCTCCCATCTCCTAAGGAACCGGGCCTGGAAGATCGCAGCCGTTAGGGTTAACCTCAATAGCCTTAACACTCCGCGATAACTCCATGCCCTTATACAAGAAGATTTTGAACATTTCACAACGACACCCTTCGTTACCTTTTAGCTGGTTTATCGAAGAAGCTGTTGCATCAATTGACGAACAGTACTGGCCCGAAGATCCTAGTAGACGTATATAAGAATCTTAAAAATCAACTTTTTATTCAACACAAATGCAAGTATTCGATTTATGATCGGCATGTAGTGCAATCGCCTCAAAATAATGAGCCGAAAAGTATTGAGAGAAAGAAGTTCGAAGTCGACGAAGTAGGTGGCCTTTTCCAACTTTGAACGTGACACAGGTTGAAGAAGATGAACTTAAAAGGAGATAAACTACTTTCGTGTTCATGTTGATATGATTTTCGGTATCAACAAACGCACTTAGTTCAATCTGAAGCAGAGAGGACAAAACGAGTATTACCCTACGGGAGGCGTCGTACAGAAATACATGAGTAAAATATTTGCCAATACAGTTAGGATAAGGGAATAGGAACCTCTGGAATACAGATATCTTTGTACCTAATTCTGGGGAGCTAAGAGTTAATGCTGGGCTTAATGTTGGTTTACTATTGAGATTAAGGATACAGTTCTTCTTTATTTAAGTTTCAGGGTCATGATAAGGATTATTTTAGGGTGAGACTTTGAATTTAAGACTAGGTTTGGAATAACGCTTCGGTTTTGGGCTAGGCCAGCGAAACAGTAATTTTTCTTGCAATTTACTGTATGACTACCGCCTTTACGGCGTTATTCTTTGGTCCGTATCATGCTAAAACTGTCTGGTATTCGCACCTGACAATCTGTTTCAATGTAAGGACACGTACATCTCGTTCGAATTACAGCAAACCTCTATATGAGATGACCCAAGTGGCATATGCGCATAGATAAGTAGTTGAGAGGACGAAACTTTGTAAAGCGTTTGAGAACCAAAGGTTATTTCCGCTTTTGTGTCGTGTTTGCACTCAAAAACATTGTCAGAGACAAAATCAGCTGGAGATATTGATGGCAACTAAATATTTTGATCCACTGTTCCTGCCAATTGCTCCCCGGCACTCGTATCGTCGCTTCTGCTAGAAATTTGGGGTGTCAGTCTTACACTTTAGTTTGCGGAACAAGTCTCCAAAAGCTACTGCACAGCAACCAAGTATCATCAGTTGAAAACCATTCTTAACAGGGCTTCTAAAAACTCACTTTACCTCAACCCAATCACGTGTGACTTTGATAGGAATCGATCTAAATAAACGCCCGGTGAAATTTATCAGGAATTTTGGTTAAAAATTGAATTGCAGTTGATTTAGGAAGTAACTTTTTGTACTGTTGTCTGCGACTCGACCTTCCGCTTCTAACGTTACGTTTATTCTTTGATACGTCATGCGAACGGACGACTAAAACTCCTGAGTGTGTGCGATCATGCGAAATTTTTAAAATAATTATCGCAGGTGTTTTACAGTGTAGGCGGCTATAAAACATACCAGGTGAAGGCGCCGTTTCCTCAAACAAATTTCTTTTCACCCAGCGCGTGCATCATTCTTGACCGCTCAGCTAGGATGATGTAATGAGAGGGAGATTTAGACAAGATTCTTTGTCACAATATATGTGGAGTTATAGCATGCAACAGTCATATCTTCTGGCATATGTAAAAAAACATTTTAGATAAATATTAACTAAGGCAGTTTTGTTCTGAATGCTGATTATTAAAAAATGTGGCAGGACTGATTATAGAGGCCCCAAAAATCCCGTCGACTTATAATAAAGCATTAGTTTTGAATGATCGGTAGTCCGACTTTAATTTTTTCGTTAAATTCCACCACTAGGAGGACAAATTTCCATTTTCGTTAAATTCCGCCAACATATGGTCGAAATTCCTTTAATTGGCATTCGTAACCTGCGCAACAGAAGTTCATATTGATCGGATTTGATTCTATTTTATCTTCGCTCTGACGGGAGAGATCGCGAGTTCAAATCTCGGTGTGACAGCAATTCCAGCGGCCACACTGGGGTTGGGTAACACTAGCCGATGACGCCTAAT